GGATAAGATACGTGGAAAATCCTCTATAATCGTGAGAAATGGGAATTACAAAGTGGGTTTGCATTTTTTTTAAAGTGGGTTTGCATTTTTTTTAAAGTGGGTTTGCATTTTTTATAAAGTGGGTTTACATTTATTTAGTGCTGAGGTGCACGGGGATCATTTTTTTTTAAACTTTTGCTCGATTTATTTTTCTGAAATTTAGGATTACACAACACCCTTAACACACATTTTAGTTCCAGCTTCCTCTAGTTTTGCCTACTTTTGTTTTGTATGAAAACGAACTAAAAGCCCTTTTGTGCCTGTGTCTTTTTAATTTGGGGGTCTCTGACGAAGGTTTTTAAACTTTTCCTTGCACTTGAACTTTTTAACTTTGTTTTTGGAGCGTGCCTTTCAGCTTTTTGGGAGCATCCCAGACTTTGAGATTAGTTTTTGCTGGTTTAGGGTTTTGGATTTATTTATTCCTTATTATTTATTATTTATTTTATTTTATTTATTACTGGTAGCCTCATACCCCTCACCCTCTTTGCAAGTCTTGGCTTTATTTATTACAAAGCAGTTTATTTTGGGGTTTTTTTTTTTTTTTGGTTGTTTTTTGTTGTTTTTTTAAAATTTATTTTGTAAGCATAGTAAATTTTTTATTGTCTTGGTTTTCAGACCCTGGGAGACATTTGTTAACTTGGGGTGAACCCAACTCTTCTTCCCACAATCCTTAGCGTGGTTATGTTAATTAGTTCAAGTTCTGCTCCCCTATTGGTTACTCGTTCTCCATATATGGTCATAGTTCTAGAAAGTTCTGCCCCCGAGGCTGTAAATTGTATCAATTGTGTAAATTAAATTGTACAAATTGTATCAAAATGGTATAAAAATTGTATCAACTGTACAAATTGTACCAATTGCATAACTTGTATAAATTAAATTGTATAAATTGTATAAATTGTATAAATTGCATAACTTGTATAAATGGTATGAATTGTACAAAAATTGTACAAATTGTACAAATTGTATGAATTGTATAAATTGTATAAAAATGGTATAAATTGTACAAAAATTGTACAAATTGTACTAATTGTATAAATTGTATAAATATTGTACAAATTGTAT